TTCTTCCCCAGATGAGGGAAGTCTCAGCTACAGTTTCCTCAAATATAACTTCTAGTCCCTTCTCTCTCTCTCTCCACCCCCTCAGAGAACCCAGTAATTCTGACATTGGAATGTTTCATGGTATCATTAATCTAAGTCAGTTCTCAGGACTAAGTCAGGACTTTAGCTGTTTATCCCAATCCTCCTTGGCTTCCTTCCTTTCTATCAGTTTGTCTTTTAGATCACTAATTGTTCTTCTGCCTCATTTATCCTGGCTGTTAGAGTATCCAGTTTAGACTACATTTTATTCATAGCATTTTAAAGTTCAGCCTGATTAGATGTTGTTTCTGCCCTAGGAGATTCTTATTTTGTCACTAATGATTTTCTCAAGCCTGGCTCTTGACTTCATGATTGCTATCCTGAATTCTATCTCTGACATCTTGCTTATGTCCATACCCATTACGTCTGGGGGAGAGGCCATTGCCTCTGGTTCTTTTCTTTTTTTTTGGGAATTCCTCCTCCTAGTCATTCTGTTGAGGGGTGGTTGAGAGAATGTATGGAGTCCAAAATATTAACCACGACCCAGGCAGGATGCACCCTAGGAAAATCTGGAGTGTTTGGAAGTCACCACTGAAAAAAACAGCCAAAGTGAAACTCAAGAATAAAATCTATAAAATTAAAAAGAAATAAAAAATTAAAAATCAGAAAAAAGAGAGAAGAAAAAAGAAAAATGGGGGGAAGGGGGCTATAAGCTCTCAGTGTGGGCAAGGTAGGGTTTTTCAGTTCTTCCTGGGTGTATTTTACTCTGTTGTTAGAGGACACCACTACCCAAAGTTACGGGGAAAATAAAACTGGTATATATATATGAAGGTAATATTGACTAGGGAAAAAAGGGGCCACATTGAAGCATATATCTATATAAAAATGTAAGTGTGAAAAAGAACAAGTTAAAAAACTACTATGAAATAGGTTATATTACACATCTATTTGAAATGAGAAAAAGGTAAGAAGAAAAAACAGGGAAGAAACATAGGGAAAGAATAAAAGAAAAAGAAAGCATTGTATCTGAAAAATACATAAGCAATAAGGCATTGCTTGGAGCTAAACATACTGTTTTCCCCTGGTGTTGGGGTTTTACAGTTTTATGGAGGCCGTAGGGTTGGCGTCTTCTTGTTCTTCCAGCCTGTCTTCAGGGGCGTGGCTGCTGTGGTATTTCTCAGGCAACCCTGTTTCAGCAGAGTTATCTTGGCCACCCCCCACCCTGCATCAGGGTGCTGGGCTCTGTGGAAACCTGTTTTTTGAGCTTTTGTTCTCTGGTGGTTTTCCATGTCTATTCTGAGGCTCAGAACAAAACAAAACAGAAATGGCCACACCCAGGCCTCTGTCACAGAACAGAGAAATCACATTCTGCTCTTCACCGAACCCTCCAGAACACACAGTCTCCGTTTTTGTAACTGTTGCTGAAAACAGCCTCCCAGAAGGGGTGCGCCTCCACAACAATCTTCTCAGCAGTTGACCCACAAGCCCAGCTTGTCTCTGCCCTTTGTGCTTCTAAATCCAGAAGTGGTCCTGGTTCTTGGGTGTGCCCTTGCAGCTCCTGGATACTGTTTGAGTGCTGTTATAAAGCCTTTCCTGGCTGATACCACTCTGCGAGTTATTGCCCAGTCCCCCAGCCTGGGACGCATTTGTGCTCAGGCGTTATATAACTTTCCAGGGGCCAACTTAGGGCTGATCCCTCTCCCTTCTGCTTATCTTCTGATATCTGCCCACAGATTCATGACTCCTCCCTTCCTGCCTTAGGATGGTGGTGTTTTTCTGCTTTTAGAGACCCAGATATCTATTCTTACACCTCAAGCTGATTTCACGGGTGTCATGATGGTTTGGTAGATATCCAGCTAAATTCAAGAGACTGATTGAAATGGAGTCCCCTATTCCTCTGCCATCTTGCCCCCCCTCCTACAGTGGGTCTCTATCTCTTACCTCCCATATCTCTCCTCTTGGTTCTTTTGCTGTGGGTCTCAATCTCCTACCTGTCTTCTGTCTCTTCTTGGATCTGTTACTATGGGTCTCTCTTTCCTGTGTTCTCTCTCCTTTAGATTCTGTTACTGTGGTTCTCTATTTCTTATCTCCCTTCTGTCTCTTCTAGGTGCTGTTACTGTGGGTCTCTATCTCTTAACTCCCATTTATCTCCTCTTGGTTCTTTTACTGTGGGTCTCTTTCTCTTACCTGTATTCTGTCTCCTCTAGGTTTTGTAACTGTGTGTTTCTATCTCTTACTTGTCTTCTATCTTCTCTTGGTTCTATTACTATTGGTCCCCAGCTTTTACTTCTCATCTGTGTCCTCTATATTCTGTTACTGTGGATCTCTATCTCTTACTTGTCTTCTGTCTACTCTAGGTTCTGTTAGTGTGAGTCTGTATCTCTTACCTTTGCTCTGTGTCCTCTTAGTTTTGTTACTGTGTGTCTCTGTGTCTTATCTCTCATCTGTTTTCTCTAGTTTCTTTTACTCTTGAGAATTCTGTCTCATAGTCTCTGAAAATTGTCAAATTTAAAGCAACTCCATGGTGGTTGGCTGACCTTGGTCCTGGGGTTGGGTGACCAGGCCAGGGGGCCTCAGAGACAACCATTTGTCCAGGTCCACATGTCCAGATGACTCATGTGTCAGCATATCTGGCGTCTCTGTCAGTGACCACAGACATACAGACAAGGGACTTTGTATCTCATAGTTCTGGAAGCTGGAAATCCCCTATCAGGTTCATTCAAACATAGTGTCCTTGGAGGCCTGCTTCCCAGCTCATGGACTGTATCTTCCTTCTGCATCTTCTCATGGTGGGAGTGGCAAGGGAGCTCCCTTTTTCATAAGGGCACTCATCCCATTTTTGGGACTGAACCCTTATGACCCTAGGTCACTGAAAGCCTCACCTCCTAACACCATCACACTTAGGGTTAGGATTTCACACACAAATTTTGGGATACAAACTTTCAGTCCATCCTGTCCTTCCCTCATCCCAATGCTGATGATTTTGCAACTTGGGCCCATGGATGTCACACTAGGTATGCAAGGGTCAGGTGGACAGATGGTTCCCTCCCAGTGAGGGAGGAGGGTGGGATCAGCTGGGTCCCAGGAGCCTGCTGGTAGGGGTGTACATGTGTGAGATGCAGTTAGAGGTGTGTGCATGGGAATAGAAGAAGCTGACAGGTGTGTGTCTGAGTAGATGCTTAGGGTAGAGAGCTTCCAGGAGGTCAGGAGGCAGTAGAAGGTTGACGTCAGGTCTCACATTGGTGCAACCTGCAGAAGCGTAAGGGCTGGTGGGCTTCAGGAGGTTTGTGAGGGTTGTATGGGGGGCAGTGACGGTCCCCAAAGGCAGGGATTGGATCAGGAGGTTGTTCTGCTGCCCCTCAAAGACGTAGTGTGGACAGTGCATGAGCGCTGTGGTCAGAAGACATGGTGCAAAACCTGGTACGCTACCCGCAGGCAGGGGCTGAGGCTCTCCGAGGCTGCAGTTTCTTCCAGGTAAGACAGTGACAGTGGCCCCACCTCTCGCATTGTGAGCACGGAGCGAGAGGAGGTCCGAGTGACCGTCAGTCTCCCACGCTCACCAGCCAGGCTATTCAAGCAGACAGCATCCTACCTGTGCAGGGAAATCAGTGCACTTCAGGGAGAGGACATGGTCCTCCATAATGTGGGTGGGCCTCATCCAAGCAGTCGAGGGACTGAAGAACAAAGCCCGAGGTTTCCTGGAGAAGAAGGAGTTCTGCACCAAGACTGCAGTGTTAGCTCCTACCTGAGATTCCAGGCTGCTGGGCGGCCCTGCAGGTTCCCGATGTGCTGGTCGATGCCCACAGGCAATGAGCCAGTTCCCGGAAAGGAGTCCTCTAGGTCTATGCGTCTGCCTCTAGCTTAGTTCAGCTGTACTTGTAGGGTTGTGTCTCTGTGTCCTACCTCTCATCTCCTTCCTCCCGGTTCTGTTACTCTGGGTCTCTATCTCCTACCTCTCATCCACCTCCTCTTGGTTCCATGTTGTAGGACAATATTGGAGGGTCGCAGGTGGGAGCCTCAGTGCCTGGTGGGAGGTAGTTTTCGCAGAATTGGCATTCTAGCCCTGAGGGTGAGGGCACAGTTGTGCCAAGGGCCTGGTGCTCATCCAGGAGGGCACGGGGTCCCCAGTTGTGGGAGATGCTGGCATTCCCATGAGAGGCAGGTGGGATGGAGGCTGATCTGTGGTCCAGGAGATGGGAGTGGAGGTAGCCCTGGGACCGAGAGGAAGAGGGGGCTGGGCAGTCTGTGTGGCCCATTGGCCGACTGGCTTCTAGGTAGAAGTGTAGGGTGAAGGGGATAGAGGGTGTGGTACTGAGGATACTGAGGCACTGAGGGCAGTAGCCTAGAGCCCCCAGGGTCCCTGAGGGTTGGAATGTTCTGGACACCTGCTTTCTGTCCCATGGCCAACCTAAATCATGTCCCCCAAATTCAAGACTTGAAGCCTTGACCCCAGGACCTTGGAATGTGATGGTATTTGGAGACGGGGTCTTTGAAGAGGTGATAGGGTAGAAGGAGGTCATTCATCCAATCCAGTGTGGCTGGTCCTCAGTATGGCCTCTTGTTCTTGTAAGAGCAGATGATGAGGGCACAGACATGCACAGAGGGCTGGCCATGTGAGCACAGGGGCAGAGGCCCCAGGAGAGGTCTGCATCTCTCCCGCTGGCTTCCAAGATTGTGAAAGCAGAAACGCATGTGGTTGCAGCCACCAGACGGTGGCTCTTTTGTCTGGCCGCCCGAGCTGGCTAATACACACCCAACACATGCCTCTTGCTTCTGCCCACGGCCGGGGCTGGCAGCCCCTCCTGCACCCAGCACCACGTGGCCCCTGGGCCTGCACTGTTCCTGGATGCCTTCCTCACCCACCGGGAGCGCCTGGGGCTGTGGGGGTCCTGGCCCCCCATGGCGGGAGGGAGCCAAAGCACGGTGTGGCCAGGCGGGGACTTCACCAGGAGCATGAACACAGGAAGACTTTTCCCAGCAAGTTATGGAATTTTTCAGGATATTTTATTGCCGTTAAAGAAAAAGAGAAGAAACAGTAAAGGACATTTTCACGCTTCAGAAATTTCACAAGAAGCAATCAAGCTACCCAAGCTACAGCAGCGGGTGTCCTCTGAGTGATGGGTGTGCATTCTCTCCCAGGGGCATGGGGGGCCCTGCTTCTCCTCCCCTGCGTGGTCGTCTCTCCCGTGTCGGGGCTCCGATCGGGCACTCGTTCAAAGGCCGGGTGGAGAACCAGTCCTAGGCGTCTGCCTGGGTCAGGCCCCAAGGCCATGGGCACTCTCTCTGGTCGTCTTGTCTCTGCCCCCAGCTGCCCGGAGCAAGCAGGCATTTCCGCCCAGCGTGACTCGGGTCCTGGTCACAGGAGGGTGCAGGCTGGGCCTGCTGTCCTGGCCTCTCCGCACCTGCCCAGCTCTGTCCACTGAGGCTGCGTCCCACCCGTCTGGGGACCAGGTCACCAGACCCCTCTGCAGGAGGCCAGTCTGGCTGCCGTCACTCCTTTCCCCTGTCCCCGGGGGGGGGGTCCTGCAGTGGCCACAGGCCTGGGCCCTCCTCTGCACATCTCCTCCAGTGGAGAAGGTCTGACTGACCATCCGTGGCACACCGGAAGCCTCTCTGTGGGGTGATGGTGGCCCATGGGCTCCTCAGGATCTGAGACAACATGCCTGCTCTGGGGATGTCCTGCCTCCTGGAGCCCGGCCTCGATGGGGTTTGCATGGAGGCCGGTCCCTGCCCCGATGGACGCTGGGACTGCCAGCCCTCTGCCGCCTCCAGGATGACCGTGCACGTGACCCCGGGGCCGTGCTGGTGAGGGCCATCCTGCCCTGATGGGTCAGTGTCCACGCGGCCCCAGCAGTGACTTGGTGGCCGCCGAGGAGGGGTGAGCAGTGTCCATCAGCTCAGGTTGGGGGCGCAGCCTGCTGTCCGGTGGAGTCTCCAAACGGGGCGTCAGGGGCAGGAGCAGCCCACGGTGCCCGGCAACCCCGAGGGTGGAGGTCAGGTCCAGGGCGGCTGTGAGGTCGGAGGGTGGCGCTCTGGGAGGTCAGAGGGGCAGGCCTGGCAGCAGGCCGGGCGGCACGAACCGATGCAGCCGGTTCCCGTGGGGGGTCGAGGGCAGCCCTGGACACCCGCCACGAGGACCGGCCCTAGGCCCCCTGGCCGATCATGTTCCGGTAGTCGGGGACGATTGTGTGCTTCAGCTGCACCACCGAGGAGAAGATCCACTTCACCTGCAGCGGGCGGGCGCGGGCGTGGGCGTGAGCGTGGCCGGGACCCCGGGACCGCCCACCGCCTCCCGCCGGAGCTGGGCCCCACCCCCGGGACCGCTAGAGGGCTGGCGGTCCTGGTGGGGACGGCATGCGGACAGTGAGGGGACAGCGAAGGGACAGAGCCGGGACAGCGAGGGGGCAGCGAGGGGACCACGATGGGACATTGCGGAGACAGTGTGGGGACAGCGAGGGGGTGGTGAGTGGGCAGCGTGGGGACTGCGAGCGGAAAGCGTGGGGACAGCCACTGGACAGTGTGGGGACGGTGAGGGGACAGGGTGGGGACAGTGAGGGGCAGTGAGGGGACAGCGAGGGGACAGCAAGTGGACAGCATGGCGACAGCCAGTGGATAGCAAGGGGACCATGTGGCAATAGCGATGGGACAGCGAGGGGACAGTGAAGGGACAGTGTGGGGGCAGCGAAGGGGCAGCGAGGGGACAGAAGGGGACAGCGAGGGGACCACAATGGGGCAGTGAGGGGACAGTGTGGGTACAGCGTGGGGACAGCGAGGGGACAGCGAGGAGACAGTGAAGGGACAGTGTAGGGACAGCGAGGGCGAAGTGAGGGGGCAGAAGGGGACAGCGAGGGGACCACGATGGGGCAGTGAGGGGACAGTGTGGGGACAGTGTGGGGATAGCGAGGGGTGGTGAGTGGACAGCGTGGGGACTGCGAGCGGACATCGTGGGGACAGCCACTGGACAGTGTGGGGACGGTGAGGGGACAGGGTGGGGACAGTGAGGGGACATCGAAGAGACAGTGTGGGGACAGCGAGGGGACCACAATGGGGCAGTGAGGGGACAGTGCGGGGACAGCGAGGGGACAGCGAGGGGACAGCATGGCGACAGCAAGGGGATAGCAAGGGGACCATGTGGCAATAGTGATAGGACAGTGTGGGGACAGTGTGGGGACAGTGAGGGAGCGGTGAGGGGCAGCATGGGGACTGCAAGCGGACAGCATGGGGACAGCCACTGGACAGTGTGGGGACCGTGAGGGGACAGGGTGGGGACAGTGAGGGGCAGTGAAGGGACGTCGAGTGGACAGTGAGGGGACAGTGACGGACAATGTGGGGACAATGTGGGGACAATGTGTGGACAGCATGGGGACAGCTGGGGACTGTGGTGACAGTGATGGGGCAGCATGGGGTCATCATGAGGACAGCGTGAGGACTGGGTACAGTGTGGGGATAGCGAGGGCAGAACAAGGGGACAGTGTGGGGACAGTGCTCATTGTGTGGGGACAGTGAGGAGTCATCATGGGCACAGTCTGGGGACAGTGTGGGGACAATGAGGGGACTATGTGGGGACAGTGGGGGAACAGCGAGGGACAGTGTGGGGACAGTGGTCCATCGTGTGGGGACAGTGAGGGGTCATCATGGGGACAGTGTGGGGACAGTGAGGGGTCATCATGGGGACAGTGATGGGACAGTGAGAGGACAATGTGTGGACAGCATGGAAACAGCTGGGGACTTTGGGACAGTGATGGGACAGCATGGGGTCATCATGGGGACAGTGTGGAGACACTGGGCCATCATGTGGGGACAGTATGAGGACAGTGTGGGGACAGCATGGAGATGTGAAGGGACTGCATATGGACAGTGGGCCATAGTATGGGTACAGTGTGGGGTGGGTCAGAATGGTTTAACCAGGGGACAGCGTGCAGACAGTTTTGGGTCAGTGTGGGGACAACATGGGCATGTGAAGGGACTGCATGTGGACAGTGAGGGGACATGTGGGGTCAGTGTGGAGACAGTAAGGGGACAGGGAGGATAGAGTGTGGGGTCAGCATAGGGACTGTATAGGGATTGCATTGGGACATGTAGGGGACAGTGTGAAGACAGCTTGGGGATAGCATAGGAACAGCATGGAGTCAATGTGGGGACAGGGTGGGGGCCACTGTTGGGTCACTGAGGGGATAGCAAGTGGACAGTGTGGGGACAACGTGGGAACAGCGTGGGGACAACACGGGGACAGTGTGTGTCAGTGAGGGAACAGTGTGAGGACAGCATGGGGATAGTGTCTGGTTAGCATAGGTTTGGCATGGGATCAGTGTGGGAACAATATGGGGAAAGTGTGTGGACAGCATGGGGACAGCATTGGGATATCAGGGGGACAGCACAGAGATAGGCTGGGGAAAGGCTGGGGAGAGTGTGTGGACAGTGTTTGGACAACATGAGGTCACTGTGAGGAAAGTGTGGGGACAGTATGGGGACAGTATGGGAACAGTATTGGGACATCATGAGGACAGCATAGGACAGCATGGGTGCAGCGTGGAGACAGCATGAGGACAGTGTTGGGACAGCATGGGGACCACATGGGGACAATTCTGGGTCAGTGTGTGGCTACCATGGGGTCAGCATGGGAATAGCATGGGGACAGTGTAGGGAGAGTGAGCCGAAGTGAGGGGACAGTCGAGGACAGCATGGGGACAACATGGGGACAGTGTGAGGATGGCATGGGGACAGCATATGGGCAGCATTTGGACAGCGTGTGGACAGCGTGTGGACAGATGGGGACAGCACGTGGATAGTGTGGGGACAGCACGGGGACAGCAGGCTGCAGTGAGGGGACGTGTGGGGACGCCCACCTTAAAGAGGGTCACAGTGGCGCTGTAGCACACGCTGAGCAGGAAGAGGGTGATGAAGATTGAGATGGTGGTCCACAGCCCGTCCAGCTCCCCATCCTGGTCCTCGGCACAGCTGTCGTCCAGGAGCAGCTCTGGACAGGAAGGGGGTGGTCAGTGCTGTGCCTGCCCCAGGGGCGATTCCCTGGGGGACAGTCACAGCCCTCTGCAACCTCAGGCGCCAGCCTCAGCACCCCCGGCTCTCCAGCTTGGGTCTGGTCGGTGGGGGACCCCCTCCCTCTCTGCTCTGCCCTGTGCTGGGCCCCTCCTGGGGGAAGGCGCCCTGACCGGCACATGTCCTCTTCCCCTGGGGGCCAGGTCCAGAAGGCGAGGGGGGGCTGGAGAGCCCAGGGAAGGGCTGGTCAGTGTCGGGGAGTGTCCGAGAGGAGGAGTGGGTGGGAGTATCAGGACAAGCTGGGTGTGGGGTTTTGTGGATGTTGGGAGGGGGTGCAGTGCCCTGGGGCCGGGGGGCAGGTCAGTGTGGTCCGTGTGTGGATGAGTTGCTCAGAAGCCGATGGGTGCTGGAGGGGGTGTGGATGGGCTGGTGTCCACGGTGAGGGTTCCCAAGACCGGCTCTGGTCTGGGCCCATGCGGGTCGTCCCATGTGAGGCCTGTGTGTGAGGCCTGTGTGTGTACGTGCATGCCTGTGTGTGCACACACGTGTGTCTGTAGTGCACACGCGAGCGTGCATGCCTGTGCGTGCAGTGCTCGTGTGCACACACGGGTGCACACGCATGCAAGCATGCCACAATGCAGGCGTGCACACGCGCGTGGCTGTGTGCACGCACATGTGTGTATGCACGCATGTGTGTGTGTGTGATCGCGTGTGCGAAGATGGGGCTTCTCTGTGGGACGGGCTTGTTTTCCGTGGGTCTGGACTCAGCGTCCAGGTGGGCATCTGGGATGGTCCCCTCCATGGGAGCTCAGGGCCGCCTGCCTCTGCCCCTTTGGGGTTCGAGGTTGAGTGTCCCCACGAGTGGACAGGCCTGGCCCCAGGCAGGACCCCCACACCTGGGAGAGGGCGGGAGCCTGTTTGTGGAGTGCCTGAGGGCAAAGGAGGGCCCATCCCCACACACGGGGGAGGCGCGTCCTCTGTGTTGGCACAGAGCAACCACGCAGAGTCTCAGGAGGCCCAGGGCGCCCAGGGCAGGAGGACAGGCCAGGGTCGCCCAGAACTTGGGCTGGTACAGAAGTGGGAAAGAGTGTGCGCTCACTTTCCTGAGGGCTCCGGAGGGCCTTCTGTGATCCCTGACCACACCCTGCAGCCCCGGGTAGCTCCTGGTTGCAGGGACGGCCCGGAGTGGCGGCCACCTCTGGCAAAGTCCCCTGTCCTGCCTCAGGCGACTCCTGGCCACATGCTGTGGCAGCCTGTGCAGACCTGCCCACTCGGAGTCCAGGCCCCTGTGGGACCCGCTCTCTCCCACCAACGGTGACCCCTTGGCCTCTGAGCCGGGCTGTCCCTGCCGCCCAGAGACCCCAGTGTCCTGAGCTCTGCCTCGGAAAGAACCATGACAGCGTCGCTTGGTCCCAGGGCAGTGCTGGGTGCTTTATTTCATGCAGGGGCACCTGCCTGGGAGGTATGTACACAGGGGTGGGGGCTCCGGCATCCTCGTGGGACCCCAAGAGCCTGTGGGTGGGGGGCTTGCTGGGGGGCCGGGCGTGTTGCTCATTTACCCGGAGACTGGGAGATGGACTTCTGTGTGTGGTGGTTGTGTAGGGCTTCATGCAGCACCGCACACGTGAAGACGTCTCCCCGCTGCCAGCGCGCCTTGTCCACCGAGAGCTTGCTGTAGAGGAAGTAGCTGCCGTCCGCATCCAGCTGGGGCGCGGTTGTTCGGACACTGGCCTCTGGTAACTGCTGGCCGCTGCTCTGCCACTCCACATCAATGTCAGGTGGGTAGAAGTCTTTGACCAGGCAGGTGATACTGACGGTGTTCTTAGTCATCTCGTCCCGGGGTGGGGGCATGACATACACACTGGGCTGCTGGGGATCCCCTGTGGGGTCAGAGGTCAGCACAGTTGGTCACTCGGAGGGTGGAGGTCTGCGCTTGGTCTGCAAGACCCCCTCTTTGACCCTCCCTGCTCCCCAGCCACCCTGCTGCTCACCTCTGGCCTTGGAGATGGTCTTCTCAATGGGGGATGGGAGAGCTTTGTTGTTGACCTTGCACTTGAAGACCTTCCCCTTGAGCCAGTCCTGGTGCTGGATGGGGAGGACACTGACCACACGGAAGGTGCTGTTGAACTGCTGCTCACGTGGGTTCGTTTTGGCCGTGTGCACCTCCTGGTTGTCCACGAACCAGCTGATCTGGACCTCAGGGTCTTCTTGGGCCAGGTCCACCACCATGCATGTGACCTCGGGGGTGTGGGCCATCCTGAGGACGTCCCTGGGTTTTGGGGGGAAGATGAAGACCGAAGGTCCTCCCAGCATATAAGAGCCTACGAGGGAGACAGAGCACAGGGGTAGATAGTGGGTGGCCTTCCTCTTGGACATCCGTTGCCCTCACCAGGCCTTCTGCTTGGGGTGCAGGGAAAGGCCTGCTGACTCACCTGGACATTGGGGACATTTGGATGGGTCAGTAGGTTCTCTTTTGGTCACTGCAGAGAGAGCAGACTGGGCATTACTGGGTGTCTGGGCTGGGCACAGGTTGGGGTGGGCATAGGTGACGGCCAGGTCTTAGGCGGTTCCCAGACCAGGGACTGGAGTGGGGGGTAAGCCGCTGGATACCAACACCCAGAGGATCTCCTCCCTCAATTGGGAGGCCTGCAGGTGAGGCAGACAGTGGTGCCTCCCCTGTGCCCTGGGGTCCAGGCTGGCCAGGTGACCTGGCCTGTGTCCGAGTGGACACCCTCCCTGAGGCCCGTCCTCTTACCTTTCTTGTCCACCTTGGTGTTACTGGCTGGGTGGGCCACGTTGCAGATGAAGGTGTCGCTGGCCCACCTGCTGGAGGGCACGGTCACCATGCTGCTGAGAGAGTAGAGCCCCGAGGACTGCAGGACGGACGGGAAGGTGTGCACGCCGCTGGTCACGGAGCCGGAGTTCCAGGACACAGTGACAGGCTCAGGGAAGTAGCCAGACACCAGGCAGGCCAGGGCCACTGTGGATCCGGAGGTGGCCCCGCAGCTGGGGGCCAGTGGGAAAACCGATGGCGCCGTGGTGGAAGCTGCAAGAGAGGAGGTTGTGTGACCACCAGGGTCTCTCCCCTGCGACTATCAGGGCAGGACAGCAGGTGCCCAGGTCTGGGGCGTCCAGGGCCCAGCACCCATGTGCTTCCTGGACGTCTTTAGACCAGCTGCCTGGCCTGGCTCTCTGCGGCCACAGGTGCTGGACTCATCAGCCTGGTCAGGGCTGGGTGACCACCTGGGTCAGAGTCTCCTGGGCCTCTGGCCCTGGGTCCCCACTCAAGCTTCCTCTGGGTGTCCGGCCTGACCAAGCCTGTCGGAGCCCTGACCTGTGGCCCCTGCTCGCAGCTGGCTCCTGCTGGCCCCCTGAGCCCATTGCCCTGCTGTCCCCACCGGATTGTGCCTTGGACCAGTGGAGACGTCCACGCACGGCCACTGCCCCTCAGGGCCCCACGTCTTCTGGGTCGGCTCTGCAGCCCAAGCAGCCGGGCCCCGGGCCCCGTCCCTGCCCCGAACCCATCAGACCCTCCTCAGGCCTTCGTGGCATGGCCCCCCGAGTTCACTGAGGGCCTGCCCAGCCAGTGTCCCCGGCTCGGGCCATCCCCGCTCTGGGGCCTGTCAAGCTCCTTGCTCTCCACGGAGCCCTTCAGCCGACATTTTCCTGAGCCTGTTGCCCCTCAGCGTGGAGGGGAGCCTTGCGCTGCCCTGGCTGTCCTGTCCTGTGTGGGACCAGCACCTCAGCATCTCAGAGCCCTGGTCCCAGCCAGCCTCTCCCCTCTGGTCCTGCATTCCCTCCCGCCACACCCCAGGCTGGCTGCCCTGCGTCAAGCTCTGGTCGGGCCCCATGCTCTCTCCTCCACTGGGTCTGCTGCGCCGGGCCTCCCCACAGGGTGTGACATGTCCACCTCTCTGTTCCTCGTCCCCACGAGCCTCCGAACAGGGCTCGCACCCCGGGACCAAAGAACGGGTTCCCCTCATCCCCTCAAAGGTGGCCACCCCTGGGCCTTCCTCCCCAGACACCTTCCACCTGGCCATAGTTTCCACCCTACCTTGTCCACCGGGCCCCAGATGCCAGGCCACCGGCCCGAGGGCAGGGATTCTCTTGCCCTCGGGGTCTCTGTATGTTGCTGCTGACAGTGCGCAGCAGCCCCAGAGCTCCGGCCTGGAGTCCTGCCTTCCTCCCCGGGGCTCCTGGGGCAGCTCCTGCCCTTGCTGCTCTCCCCCCTCCCCTGCTCACCTGCACAAGCTCTGACAGCTCTCTGAGCCCCTGGGGCAGCCCCCTGTCCCTCCTGCTCTCCCC